AAACCCTAATTGTAACTGTGCAATTCTGCTGTCTTCTCTTAGAGAAGCCACTTTTAAAGGTGCTGTATAAAATAGCGTTTGTTATTATTAGTAGTATTATATTGAAGGAACAAGTGAAGGTTTATTCCCTGTTGAAAAGAGAAGAAAAGAAACACAACGTTTTGGCTGTGGAGCCTTCTTGAGGTGTTTCTTATTATATTGAATAAGAAAACACATTTGTGTAACCATTTTCTCAGTTATCCTTAAAGAGGATTTTGTTCTTTTTAGGAGAAACTACATGAAATATCTATTTTTGCATCACTGGGTGTTTTTCTGTTAATTTTCATATTAAAAGCATTTTTAATCAAGCATGCTGATGGTTTATTAGTGTATTGTGCTCATAATGCAATTGTTCAGTGATGTGCAGTTATCCGTAAAGCTTAACGAATAGTTAAGCTTCTTCAAATGTTATGGTCGCCAGTTGTTTAGGGGAGTGAAGAGAATCACTCTCCCTTTCTTCCTCAGAGCGATCCCCGCAGAAAAGACTTAGCAGTGAGCAGGCTGGCTGGACGATGGATGTTGCTCTTACTCAGTGCACCAACTGTGTGCATTGGGCAGCGGTGTTTCCTTTGTAACAAAAAACTCTTCTGTCTGTCATGAGAAGTGTTCCCTTTGTTAAAAACAAATAAATTGTTTCCCTCGCTTTTTTGGTTAACACTTGTTATTATCTAAAAGAACATTCATTTAAAAGTCAAGAATAAGAACAGCAGCACACCAGCATGGCACCTACCACTGCCCTGCCACCTCATCAGAAGATCCCAACTGCAAATTTCCCCACAAAGGACCTCAGGAATGATCCTACTGGAAAACAAAAACTTCCAAGAGGATTGATGAACTGTCGTTCACCTTCCACCCCTTCACTCCCCCGAAACAATGAAATATCCCTCGCTCCCCTGCCGGGATACCCATCGCTGCTGCCTGACGTCTGACCGGCGTGCAGCTGTGTACCAGGATGCCAGGCAGGCCTTGTTCTGTGCAAGCACATGTCCTTACCACCCGCTTCATCCAAATTTCAGTTAAAACTGAATTTCTCATTTAATTGACAGGATACCCATCACATAAGAATGCTGCAAATCTTGTGCCTAGTCCACACGGTCTGCCTGCATTTCCTTCAAGGCTGTGCTGGGTACGATAGCTTCCCGAATTCCTGACCTGACGAAGAACGTAGTGGCAGGGTGCCCCTCACGGGGCTGTATTAGAGGCCCTCTTGGACCAGGACTCACTGTAGCACCCCTGGGTGAGACACCAGCAAGGACTGGTGGGAATGTGGGTTTGAGTTGCAGGTCAGAGTGTGTCAGAGACAGGGGTAGAGATGAGGGAATATGGGGTAAAACCATGATCAGACACCTTCAGAAAATTGTTAATAAGTCAATTCCTTCTTCAATTTGTAATATTTTGTACACCTCTTTTTTGATTAAAAACAGATGTGCTAAGTACTGTTTTTCCTCTCACCTCCATCTCCAATTTAAAACATTTCAAGAGGTCTCAGTTTCTGAGGTCTCAGTTCCTTCACCAGCTTGAAGGACAGGTAATTCTGAGTTCACAGCAGAGAAGCAGCTCCATAAATGACAAATTGATGAATTGACAGTTATTCTGAGTTTCTGCAGTTTGGAATACAGACACATTATAGCTGTAGTGTATTGTCTGCAGCAGCAACCCAATACGAATTGCAAACGCAGATTATTTGGAACAGTATTTACCGTGTCCTGGTGATTGTGAATGTCCAAGGTCACAGATGAAACTGATCTGTGTTGTCAGAAAGGCGAGAGCGAAATGATTAAGATGTTACTTCTTTTATTTCATTTGAAGGTTGTTCTGTCTTCCTTTCTGTGTTTCAATTCTGCTCCCAGACTACCCTCGGGTCTCTTAGTTCCCATTTCAGCAGAGCTCTTTATTAATTACGCTTATTGAAGCTTTATTTATTTTTTTTATTTCTTTTTGAATAGTTTCAACTCTCAAATAATAGGGTGGGGTTAGAAATGAGCATGACCCTTTTGCCTGGCGCTGGGTCTCAGAACTCTTCCTATTTAGGGTGATTGTCCAATAACAACTCCAAATGATCAGTGCCATTGAACAACTGAGTCTCTGCATCTCACCCAATGCAGATAATGTGAGTGAATGATAATCAGTTCAGAGTTGAATTCAGTCTGTTTGCTACATTTCTTGCAAACAATCCATGAAAAAATATTTCTGAATCCAAGACCTGAGAGCAGAAAACCACTAAAATCAAGTAATTGATTAATTTAAAGGTTCAATAATTTAATTATAATCTAATTAAGAGCTCGGTTGGAACAGAAACCAGAGGAGGCAAGAGTACCCCTGGACTAGGAAACATTGTTGGAATTTATTACTTTTAAAATACAGTGATGAAGGGACTTCTTGTGCAGACATTGTCTGTGTTAATATTAACAAGTCATTGGAAAGCATAGATACTTCTTATTTATAGAGAAATCATAGACTGGTGTTCATACTTTAAATCCAACCAACAAGAAATATTTCTTAAATACCAGTAAAACAGTTGTAAGCAGAACCTTAATACACATAATAATTTAATATTAATTTAAAATCCAACATTCTTTATTGTCTTATTTTCTCTGCTCTTCCTTTAATTCCTTTTAAAAACACAATGAGAAATCTGGTGTCAAAGGTCTTGTCAGTCTAGTGGTAAGAACATGATGCAGGAGTTACTTTTTTCCTGTCCATGTTTACCTACCTTTGTTTGTCACAAGTGCAGATTGAGGGGGCTTTCAGATCTTTTATTTATGATTTACCTTGAACATACATTGTGCCCAGGGAACTTGACATGCTGTGCTAATTCTAAAATACCTCCATATAAATCTTCCACAGGATCACTGAGGTTGGACCCTAGTCAGTCAAGACACTTTGGGAGCAAATATTTGGTTGTAATTTTTCATGTGCTTTTTAAATGGGTTTAGTTCTCTTTGTCAATATGCTTATTTGGTTTACATTTGGTGTGCAGCATTTCTCTTTGGGCACCTAGCTACTGTTTTTCATTGCTGTACTTTATCAAATGACATGTGAATTAATGTATTTCTGTCCATTAAAGAAGCATTAATGTCCCTTTTGTAATTTGACTTGCCTCATGTGTTTTTATGTCAAGCACGATTTGGATCTTGTATCTTTGTGTACCTTTGTGACTTGCCAAAATATCTACAAATGAAACTCATGCAGTGCTCTTAGATGATCAGTTGATTTAAGATCCAACCCAAAAAGGGGCTTTTGGTTATGTGTTTATCTGTATTGAGCATGCCATTTATAATAATATCACTTTATTAACCCTGTACAATTTCTTGCATTAGGAATTATCTTTTCACATACCCCAGCTTGCTCTCCATGAGACACACAGACAGGGAGAGAGCCTGGGGTCAGAGCACAGGGTCAGCCATTGTACAGCACCCCTGGAGCAGTTGGGGTTAAGGGCCTTGCTCAGGGGCCCGACAGAGTAGGATTCCTTTGCCAGCTGCAGGATTTGAACCAGCAACCTTCCAGCCATAGGCACAGATCCTGAGCCACGGAGCCACTGCTCCACCCAGTTAACCAGCTTTCATTTAATTTGCTGCCTCTTTGAGCCCCAAATGACTGAACAGTCTCTGGGAGGATACTCTCTCTGTTCCCCCATCCCCCACCCCAAGATGTCAGGAGATGTCAGATCTCTTCTCTAGTGGAAAAGCTGAAAACTGTGGATTTCTCGAATGGAAAATTGTCAGGTCTCCCTGATCTGTGGCTTGAATCACATGGGCACCCTGTGCTCAGAACAGTTTTGCACTAAGATTATGCAAATCGTATTTCAAAAATGTTCACACCTGGGGTTGACAGGGCATGAAATAAGGAGAACGCTTTTGCATACCAGCTTTTCTAAAACTTTTGTATCATACCAAGAGTCCAAGTGCATCATCATTTCACAGTCTGCATTAACATCTTGGAACTTGCTCCTCAGCAGTTTGATTTGAACATGCACCCAGTCACATATCTGATGGTAAACATCCCATATCTGTTTGGGGCCCTGGAATACAGATTCTGTGACATCTGTATTTCCCTTAAATTGTTATAGGGAAGTGCAAAACCTTTTGCCTGCAGCTCCAACATACATCCAGTGAAAAATAGCGGATTTTCATACTGGTGTACATTTAAGAGGAATGCCTTTCAATTTCTTAACCCTTCTCTGATCAGTATGAGGTACATTTTCACTGTCTTACATTTTTTATTGCAATTTTAAATCATGCAATATATCATGATACGGTACAGATATATATATATAAGATAAAAAAGTAGTATTTAAAATTGGTTTGCTGCTCACAGAAAGATAGAGTAGACAAGCAAGGCTCTCTTTGGCTACATACAGTAAATGATCCCATAACTTTGGTAAATGTAAAGAAATGCAGTTATCGGAGTATACTGACTATAAAACATATGACGATGTCCTGTAACCTATTTATTGCTTTTTAAATTATGTAATTAATGCCCCACATTGTATTGTTCAATTTACTGATGTTGGAAATTCAATTGAAACACAAGATATCCACAAGCAACAAATCTTTCTGTAATGTTTACCATACTTTCACTTCAGTTGCCTTGTGCAAACCTCTCTCTTTATACTCCTTGCTGTTCATAGAACTCATTGATTAAAGGGCCACTGACCTTTGAAATTATCCAGGCAATAGCAGGTGAATGTAATCACAGAATAGGCATGTGAGCTAAGACATTTCTAGATATTCTTTTTTGTCAATATTTAATAAAGAAATCAGTCCCTTTCTTTAACTTGTTTGCCTCTTTCATCACAAAGTTTTAATATTGGATGTAGACCAGAGAAGATAGTGAGCATTTGTAATAGGCAAGCATGAGGGAATCAGAAGAAAGCAAACAACCTTAAAGGTGATGAAATAATAAAGATGGTTTCAAAATTTAAATGGAGAAAAGAAGCAAGTTTTTCTTTTCCTTACCTGATGAAGCTGCCTTGGAAAAAGCAGAAAGACAAGATACACAGAATCCTAAAGACTTGTGATAGCATTCTCTGTCTCTCCTGTCTCCCCTCCACAAACACTCAGACACACTGCCTTGTTGAATAATTTGTGGAGCAAAGAATATGAGGAATCACCAATTCCACTGAGCAGCTTGCAAAACTAGGGAAAAAAGCATCGTCTTGCTGTCATCCAGGCAATCCTTGAGCAAAGTTCCTTTTTTCCCTCCCACTTAGTCCTTGCAGGTGTAAAATCCAGAATAGTGTGCCCCTCACTGGAATTGTGCTCTGTGGCTATGGGTATGAGGGAGTGTGTGCTTGTTTCTTTTTTTTAAGTGAGCTTTACAGCCAGCTGCTCGCTCCAGGAATTCTTACAGAAGAGGATTTAAAGGGACAGCTGCGCTGTTACTGGCAGTTTGATAGAATACATGCAATTAGACACAGGAGCAGGAGAACGGAGGGATATATTGTCGAGAGTATCGCGTATGTGGGGGTGGAGGTTGCTGGCTTCAGGTTAATAGGAGGTGGACCTGTGCAGTACCAGCTTCAAGGTGTGCACAGATATACTGTACTTTTGCATCCTTTTATTGAAATATTAGCAAACCAATAAATGGTAGACAACAGGAGATAATTATTTCCTTTCTTCTAAAGTTTTTTTTATGGCGGATTGGGATTCCCAAAACATCTGTCTTTTATTAGCATCTACATGTAAGAATTGCTGGGGACTGAAAGAGCACCTTTCACTGAAAATAGGGTCAGGGGTGAGTGCAGTGTTAAAGGTGTCTTGGATTTTGCTGGGAGGTGGTAGAAAACCATGGGAATTTTATTTTTTGGGTAGAATTGTATTTTATTCAAAATGTCAAATTCCCATCTTTAAGTAACACCCCTTTATGTCAATTTTTTGTTTTTGTTTTTTAATCACAAGTAGAAACCACAGTTGAGAAATGGTAATAAAAGCCTCCTGGATTATTGATGTGAAGTAAAGAAGGAGCAGAACACAGTAGAGCAGCCCTTCACAATCAAATTACCACTCAGCCCATCATTCATCACAATATCGGGCTTCACATGCTTACAAGAGTGCTTCCCAAGGCGATAACTGGAGTTTTTCTGCATCTTTATTTTAAAACAATAAGAAAATAAACACACTATGGCATAACCTTTAATCCTATACACTACATCTTTACATCCTCCAGAGTATGAAACATTTTTATGTTATATTTCATGAAATAGTTCGAACGCTGGGTGTAATTTCTGGATGTAACCTGGTGTGTGTCTCTGTGTTTTTTCTTCACTGATGGTTCAGTGAAAATCAGTGTGTAGCGTTTGCTGCTATCTCTGAAGATTGTGTGTGTGGCTTGCACTGGAAACACACTCACTCTTTATTCATGAGCTCTGGCTGTACTGTGCCTTGAAACTGAAGTGCAATATTTACAAACATAATTTGAATTATACTTATTGTGCTCTACCAGGATTCGAGCGCACACACACAGAGTGGTATAATGCACAGGACATATCCAGATTATCACAGGGTCTGTGTAAAAGCCATGAGAGCTGGCTGGTGTGTGGAGTGGTCAGCAAAAACAGAGGTGACTCTGTTGTCTCCCTGAATTATGGGTCTTGTTAAGGCTGTTGGCCATTTTAACCTGAGGGAAGCCCACCCTTCTGTAGGAAGGGATGCATTTGTCACCAGTCTTAAATAAACAAGTCACAGAGGAAACCTTAAAACAAATATAGTGTCTTGTTAATGGTGCATGACATGCATAAGAAGAACTTAGCCTGAAGTGAAGGACTTAACCCTTTAGTGCTCAGTGTATATGGTTGCTCATGCCTTCATGTTTCTCCCTGATGCCATTAGAGGGCGATATTGTTCACTTAAGCTACCTGTAGAGTGCTCAATCACTATTTGAAAAGGAACCGGAATACTGGCTGGTCACCTAGTGGCCATTCAGAAAAGAGGACTTTTGTTAATACAAAGAGCTAAAACTGGTTGTAAGTTTTGTAAGCTTATGCGATAAAAATGTTTCACAAAAATGATTGTGATTTAGTTTTAATTACAGCACATCAAACCTCACCTTTACAAATCCCCCTGTATTTATATATACAGTATTTATATATACATGGCAAGATGAAAGCTTGCCATGGTAACCGAGTAGAATGTGTTATGTAATAACAACTGTGTAGCACATTGGATTGTGATGATCACCGACCATTCACATACTACGGCAGATGTGCTTCTTGTTAACCTGAGTAATTGCTCAAAAGAGAGCTTCTGTAGAATTTCAAGTGAAATAGAATCCTTTGATATGAATATTGGTGTCCTGATGGCTGTGATAGTAAATACAGAAAATACATTTCTACTTGTTTCTCTGCCAATGAGCTTCCCAGACTTGCTTTAAACAAACTAAAAATCTGCTCAGCTGAAACTCTAGTGAGGCAACCAAAGGTCAATTACTTTGATCCTAACACAGTGCATTCTCCGCAGGACCTGGCAATGTCTTCAAAGGAAAGTTTAAAGATAAAAATCTAATATGATGCATTCTGAAATGTATAGGATATGAAAATCCTTCAGAAAATCCATGATGTCCTTTAGGGTATAAAGTAAGGACATGAAATGATGGTGCCTTGTTTTTATTTTGTCTGAAAAAATGAGTGAACCTCATTATAAACACAGGAGAATTGCTTACCAATGAGAAATAGACAGTTCAGCAGAGCCTAATTAAATTTCCTCTATGATAGACACAGTGTTGCTAAAACACACAGTGGAGTGGTACAATTAAGGAGATGAGAGCACTAAGCTCACTTTCATGTGGCCAGTCCTGGAACACACGAGAACATAACGTCTAAAATGAGAGAAGGCCATTTAAGGGACACTTTTTCTCCAAGTTGGTGTTTCTGTCCTAATAAAACAAGTGATGCCAGGAACATCAGGCAGGTCTGGCCCATCTGGCCCTGGAGGCTAGAGGACAGCTCTGCCAATGCCCCACGCTTGGCTCTATCAGGGCCCAGTTAGTCTCTACCTCTAAATGACTCTCCCTTTGGCTTAGGGAGGCAGTGTCCCCTATTGCCAACACACAGCAATGAAGAACACCTTAAGCTGTTTTTACCATGCTCCTATGTTGTTTGGCTTGAATGTAAGCCATCATATTACCTGCATGCTTAGCAAACATTTTGGATCTTCTCACATACCAAATGACAACCTTGTGGCTATGAGAAAGATTTGTGAAGTCCCAGGAGAATGGCACCTCCTTTCTCCTATTTTCCATTATCATGAATCCTTTACTGTTCACAGTTTTCTTTTATTTTCTTTTTTTTGAGACAGGAGTTTTTTTTTTACTAAAGAAAGGGGATGTGGAAGGATCCTGTTTCTAAAACACAGCCTCATTTAGACCCTCCCAAAACATGTCAAGAGAGTGCCTGAAGTGTTGCATAAACAGAGCATCACAAGGGCCCAGGTGCTACATTTGTATGATAGCATCTATACCACAGGAGTAAAGTACACCCTGTGAAGGAAATTTAAGTCAATCTTTCAATGAATAGGACTGATTAGTCAATTGATGTTGTCCCAGACATTGTCTCAGGAAATTCCTTTCTAATATTTAAATCCCTATTCCAAATAGTAACAGCTGTCAAACAATTGCATGAAGCCTTTAATTGGAGGAACTGTTACATTTTATTTGTGACCATTTTATTTAAATATCATGCAGTACATAAACGCATCTTGTGCACAAGACAACCCACTAAATGTTTAAGAAGAAAGCTTGCCATGGTAACCGAGTAGAATGTGTTATGTAATAACAACTGTGTAGCACATTGGATTGTGATGATCACCGACCATTCACATACTACGGCAGATGTGCTTCTTGTTAACCTGAGTAATTGCTCAAAAGAGAGCTTCTGTAGAATTTCAAGTGAAATAGAATCCTTTGATATGAATATTGGTGTCCTGATGGCTGTGATAGTAAATACAGAAAATACATTTCTACTTGTTTCTATTTGTCAAAATAATCCTTAACAGATATTTAAAGGCAAGACTGCGTTGTACTTTGAATTTATATTAACAAAACAATGCCACCAAAGAAACACTGTTTTGAAGACTGTCTCATTCGGCTAGCAAGTTAATTATAACAATAATTAACAGTATTGTGAGCAGAAAATCAATAAATGATTAATTTTTATAAACTAATCTAATACATTAGGTTACAATACAGTGCATCAGCAGTATATTTTTGGTAAAGAGAAACCAGTTTTTCTTTTTTAGAATTTTATTAAGAATTAGTATTTGAAATAATTATTTATATGACCTTAAGGAAATTATGTTACTTGACCATGTAATTTAAATGGAGCATAAAAACAAGAAGACATTTAATTTAATACTTATCTGACAAATAAGATGTTTCACATACTGTATAAACTGTGATGATGTGGCCTATAATCTGATTAAGGTTATGTTTTATAGGCCACATGGTACTGAATAGTAAATACAGCTCTGTAACAATAAATAAAATAGCAGTGATTAAACTGAAACTGTGATCTACAGTATGCAGCTGGAAATTATGTTGTCCAGTTCACAGAAATCTTGCTAGAGCATTGCAGATTGGATCAGATTGAAAATTCAAATCTAGATCAGAGTCTGAATATAAAAACTATAAGTTGAACTGGTGAATGCAATTTATTGATTTACTGTAGTTTTGCCTTCTAGTAGTCTGACGGTTATTTTTATTACAAATTATGTTTGAAGGAATGATGTTCACTACAGGTAAATGGAGCCAAGAGTATCATTTTTTATTATACAGCATGAAAACATAATATATTCAAGCACCCAGAATCCCAGCTGGGGATAAAATCCTCAATACTCACATCCCCAGTCATCAGCGCTAAAGCAAAGCACTTAAGCACGTACTGCATAAAGTGCAGAGATCACAGAAACCTACGATGAGTGTGTTTGCTTATATTTTAACACCTCTTAAATTAGCACTGCATTTATCCCACAACCACACCATCTTAGCCATTATCTGTATCCATGCATTTGTGTTTATATGGTTTTACGATGACTTTGAGCAAGGTTAGAAAATAACACTGCATATCTTTCTTGCAAAAAAAAGAGATAATTTATGTAAAAAAATCTCACTCAAGCAGATGTAAAATGCGGGGAGATAACATGCTCTTCTCGTTAACTAAATATAATGGTCTATTGAGAAGGACAGAGCTTGGCCTGCGTTAGAAAAAAGAAATGTATTTATTTGACAATAATGACAGTTGCAATAGGCGTAGAATTCCAACAGATGCTAACTTATGCAGAGTAGAAGGAAGGATTTAAATAATGTTACCTTTAATGCCCATCATCTGGGCAATATCATTATTTCACTTCACTTGGTGC